ATTTTTAAATTTCAGCCTTTGTTTAAAATAATCTTTCTGAAGTATGCTATTCCAATTTTCTGCCCTAGTAAATACAGTTTAGTGAATACATTTAATGATTATCGTGCAGTGCCCCCGGGTCATGATTGAAGATAAGAATTCTCATGGTGCAGCCAACTACGTGTAGGCAGAGAAGATATAGCTAATTGAACCCGGAATGCATATGGAGCGGGATTGACTGTAGAAATTGCCCTTTTGATGTAGAGGTTAAATCTCTGATGTAGGCTTGTTTTCTGGTGAGCTCTTTTCTCTGTAAAGTGGAACATGGAAACCGAAACCAAACCAAACCAAACCAAATGAATTGCTGAGAAACTTTCTAACTGGTTGGGTTCTAGTTCTACTCTTTCCTATATAGGAAACTGTGAACATTGGTACCATTGATTTCTTCTTTTGTTTTATCCCCTCACACAAGGGAGTTACAAGTGCAATGTTGATTATGGGGAAAACATTCAGAACAAGCAAATGTGTAACATTGACCTAAGGAAAAAAATTATAGGTATATAATGCATTAATACCTGGTTTTGATGATGCAGCTGAAGCCTTCTTTAAAGCAGAGTGCCAAAATGGAAACTTTGACTGGTATAGTACTGGAAAAGCCTAAGAGTCTCTCCAGGCGGCAAAAGTGTAGAGCCACATGGTTTTTTCCACCCAAAGTTCATCTGAGCACTTTCCTTTCTTTTACACATGGTAGATTCTTGACTATTTTTTCAGCATATTGTAATGGAAAAAATAAACAAACAAACACTCATTTGGATCAGAAGAACTTGAGTGTCTATTTTTGTTCTATAAATTCTTAAGTATATGCTAATATTAATACTTACTCTATAAAATTACGATGAGATTTAATACTGTATCACTGGATAGTGCCCCATATATGGAGTGCTCAGTATGCATGTGCTCCCTGTCCGTGCCCATTTAACCATCAAATGTAGAACAATAACATAATATTAAGTTATATTTCTCACCACATTATTGTCTGTTAAGACAAAAGGCCCTTAAGACTGGGTCTTGTTCAGGAATTGCATTCTAAAAAAGAGGCATCATCTTTATTTTTATAAATAAAATCATAGAGATAAAAAAAGGATTAAGTAAATTGTCCAAGGTAAATGGTGTCCTTCTAGTTTAGATATCAGTAGTTAAGTGCCACTCTCGAGAAAGTTGTCATTGGGAGAGATTAATTTGGCCCACGTCCCCTGAAAAGATAAATGGAGTGAGGGGAAGTTCCAGACAAGGAGCTTGAGCCCTGTTGCCGCTCTTCTCCACCCAGGATGCAGGGTGTGAACACCGATGCCAAGATGGTCACCAGGCCGGATGTTTCAGAGGCATTAGGAGAACCCTTCGGCAAAATCTACTTTTATCCTAAGTGCCACTGTGCTCAGAATGTCCTCAGAATTTTCTCTTTTGGGTTAAACAGTGCTCTTAGTTATTTTTTCCTTCCTTTCTCTATTCATTCAGGAATCATTTATGGATCATTAATGATGTGCTAATGTTGTACTAGGTAGTAGATTAAAAGAAAACAAAACCATCTCAGTTGTTAAGATGTTCATAGTCTGCTGAGTGGGACAGAAGAAAATAATAATGACCATAATAGCCAGCAATTTTCATGTGCACAACACTGTGCAAAATAATTCATAGGTGCTGTCTCACCTAATTCTCACAGAACACATAAATCTGAAGCTATTTTAACCCCATTTTCCAAATGACAATGGAATCCAAAAGGGATAGACTAGATTAAGGCCATTGGAGTAATGATGGAGAGGTGAGGCTAAAAGTTTAATCAAGAGGGTTTCCTGATATTTTACTAGTTGCTCTTTCTTAATGTCTGTTGCAAGTTTCTCCTTTCCTCATCGAGTTTCTGACGATGGAATGTCCTAGGGCTCTGTCCTTTTTCTTCACTGTTTTTATTTTACTTTCTCCCTTGGTGAACTAATTTTAATCTTATAGCTATGAAAACTATCCATAGACTGACAATTTCTAAATTTATTTCACTAGCCTTACTTACCTCTTTCTCAGACTCCAAACTTATATGTCCCATCACCTACTCGAAATCTTCACTCGACTATCTAGTAGACACATCAAACTCAACGTGTTCAAAGCCAAACGCTGTCGTTCCCATACACTTGCTTCATCTCTCCCTGTTGAAAACTCCATCCTTACAGGACAGTCATACAGGACAAAAGTCTTGGACTCCTCTTGACTTCTCTCATTCCCTCATTCACCTCATTTCATTCTATCAAGAAATCTCATTGGAGATTAACATCAGCAGTTAATAAGACACATCGGTATCTTATATATTCTGATATGATGCGTGAAGATCAACACATGTATCATTTCTGTGATATTCTTGACAAACTACACTCCAGTCATGAGAAAATATCAGGCCTAAATGTTGGGATATAGTATAAAATCATTACTCTTCAAATGAAGAGTATGACTGTATTTCCTTGTCACGAAACAAGGAAATACAAAAGAAGTGTGTGTCACAGATGGGAGGAAACTAAGCAGACACACAGCTAAATGCAGTTGGGATCCTGGAATAGATCTTGGAACAATAACAACAAAAAGGGCACTGGGGAAAAACTGGAGAAAAGTTGAATAAAGTTTGTAATTTGGCTAATGGCATTGTATTAATGTTAATTTCCTGGTTTAAACATGACATGGCATCCCTGGCTGAGCCCTGGCTCAGCTGGTTGGAACGCCATCCTGTGCACCAAAAGCTTGTGAATTTGATTCCTGGTCAGGGTGCACAAGCGAGGCAATCAATGTTTCCCTCCTCACATCAATGTCTCTCTCTCTCTCTCTCTCTCAAATCAATAAAAAATACACTTAGATGAGAGTTTAAAAATTTAAATGTTACATAACAGTTTATATAAGTTGTTAAGTGTTTGGTGAAGCAGGACATATGGAAGCTATATATTTTTTGAAAAACTTCTGTAAATATAAATTTTTTTAAAAGGAAAAACAAGACAAAAAGGAACAAGGAAAATTGTTGGACCTTGCTCTAAAATATATGTAGAATTCAGTCACTTTATATAACCTTTATTGAAATCACTTTGATTTAAGATATTATCCATCACTTAGATAATTGTAATAATCTCCTAATTGGTCTTTTTGCTTCTATTCTTGCTCTCTCAAAGTCAGTTTTCAAGGCAATAGTCAGGAGAATTCTTTTTTAAAAAGACTTTATTTACTTATTTTCAGAGAGGGGAAGAGAGGGTGAAAGAGAGGGAGAGAAACATCAACATGTGGTTGCCTCTCGAGCACCCCCTACTGGGGACCTGGTCCGCAACCCAGGTGTGTGCCCTGACACGGAATCAAAATGGTGACTTTTTGGTTCGCACGCTGGTACTCAACCTGCTTAGCCACACCAGCCAGGTCAGGATAATTCTTTTATAAGTAAAAAATATAACATTATAATTCTTTCCTATTAGAACAGGGTAAAGACCAACATTCTTACATTGGTGCCGAAGCTCTCCCACCACCTGGCCAGCTCCCCTCAGGGGTCCTCTGGCACCGCTATCCCACTCTTTCACCGGCTGAGCCACACTGGCCTCCTTGCCCTTCTTGGAACGTAACAGAAATATTCCCATGAAGGAACCTGTGCACTGGCTGTTCCCTCAAACAGGAGCATTCTGCCCCAGATAACATTATGGTTAATGTCTCCATACTTGAATATCATGTCTCAAGAAGGCTTACTTGCCTTCTTTGTTAAAAATCTGACCCCCCACCTTCCCCTGCTTATGTGTATTTGCATTCCCAAACCTCTTAGTTCTATTCTCCTTAACAATTTTCTTTCCATTGCACGTCCCATCTTCTAAGAGGCTGTTATTTATTTACCATCATCACCACCACCACCACCACCATCACCACCGTGACCACCACCATTCTATTAACAGCCTGGTCTCCCAAAGCTCGAATGTAAACTCCAAGAGGGCAGGCACTTTCCCCATTTTGCTTGCTGATAAATCCCAAGAGCCAATAAAAATTCCTGGCACAGAGTAGGCACTCCATCAATATTTGTTGATGAAATTGAATTAAAGGTAGGATAGAAATTGACAATCACTGCTGTGGTGAAGGAACGAATAGGGCATAGCACAACTTTCCGGCTGTCGCTGTGGGTGATGGGAAGGTAGACTGCTCCACTAGTCAATACAGAGTAAGTTTATAAGGGAAGCAATTTGTTGGATATTCTTGAGAAAACATCCAATGAACTTTTCAATCTGTAGCTTTGCAGCAGTAGGTAAAGATCTGGGATGGGGAGAGAAATTCGGAAGTTTCCTCTTCTAAGTGTAGGCATAAGAACAATCAGAAAAGGAAGGTCCCTTGCAGTTTAGAACACACTTGTTTATAGTACCCACAGCCTAACAGGAGGATGCCTGGGTGGCCCTGGAAGGCTAGGGGTGGTTGGGGATGCGGAAGAATTCACGAATGAATGTGACTGGGTGCTGGAGGCACACTTTACCTGCTCCACAATTTGGCATAAGTCTAACCCTTTTATGATCCGTGGAGATTAGAGAATGCAGACAGACAGTTCCTTGTCATTCAAAGTAAAGCAGAACCAAAGGCTGATGGGCAGGGCTTCTAATGCCCTGCCGACAATGAACTGAATCAGTCTGAATGTATATGTGATTTTTCTGTTATAACTGAGCCAGAGTTGGGGCAGGGTGGGGGACAGTAATGGGGTGTAGAGGGAAGATCATGGCCTAGCTCTTAATTTTCTAAACTCTAACAGTCAAAGGAACACTCAGTGATTTTTCCCTCAGTCTTTCAGATGATCACCTTGTCCTTTCTTTGGAGCATAATTTTGTCATTAAAGCTTTCACTTGGCAACAGTCCCACTCGTCAAGGAAGATAGAACTCTGTGTTTGCATGCTTTAAGGCAGACTTCGAGTCTACTTTGGCAAGGCTCACAAGGAAAGAGAGAAAAGAAAATAAGAGCCATAAATCATCTGGAGGCCAGAATACAGGATTAAAGATACTCGATCCACTTCAGAAAGGACTTCTGCGAGCATGTATTTACCCGATGACCCTGGACTCTCCTTTCGGCTTTAGAGAGTTTGTTCCAAGCGAGGGAAGCGACATCCTACGTCAGAGGCTGCTGTGGGGGGAGAGGAGGCTTCACGAACGCCGGCCCACAGATTCCTCCTCAGCGGCCCTTCCGAGGCTCCTGCTCTCAGGCGGTGTGCACGTGGAGAACGTCACGCTGGTGTTTATGGGTTTGTGTTCGTGCTTCCGAAGTCCATCTTCAGAAATAATAAACGCTTGTAACGCAGCTCCTGTTGGCCCGTGGTAAACGCAGGAGAATAGTGTGATTCGTATCTTGTAACTGACCTGCTTCCCTTCACGTGACTAAGTTGAGCGTTCATGAAGTCTTGGAGAAAATCAGATTTTAAGGGTAATTTTAAATTGAGTCATTTAAAAAAAACTGAGGCTTTTAGATTCCTGCTCTGTATCTGAACTTTAATGAACTTTTCTTCCTTTTCAGATAGTCTAAGAACACTTCATCATGAGTCACCCAGGTAATTACTGCCTGTTGATTTTGTAATAAAGTGCTATTGATCAAATCTATGTCACTCTTTACATTCTGAAGAAAAAAAAGCAATTTACATGTTCCAGATTACCTTGGAAGACCCAAAAGAAAAATATTTGTTATCATTTGTTTTTAAATTTAACGATACTCTGTGTTAAGAAGTACTGTGAGGAAACTTCAGGTAGTACAATGAGCTTCACTTCTCCCACAGGGAAGGCTGTCCTGTCTTAATTCTGGTTGACAGTATCCACTTGGAAGTGAGGTCATTTGAAAAAAGAATCAGCACTTTGGAGCTTCCCGTGACCCGTCATGTTATAGCTTGAATTTAGTTGTAGGCAGTCCTGAAAGGACCGCTTGTCCGTTTATTGTTTTCAGTTAGAATGTGTCTACCCTGAGAGAAAAAAGGAGAAAACTAGCATTTATTTAGCTAATGTTTCCCAATATTGTGTGTACCCAGTGTAACGATGCATGTACCTGAGCACTCAGTATACTGTGAATAAATATTTGTTGGATGAGTAAATAAGTAATTAAGCAATGGCCAAGTATTCTCTTTGATTCTAGGAGTGAGGGGAGCCTTTCAAATGCATTCACTTATGGTTCCCTGGAATTGAGGTAAATATTAATAGAGGAAGTACTTATGGACCTTCCATTGATGGCTTCTCTGGCTTAGCACTAGGACCAGAACAGTGCCCCCACATTTTCCAGGGTGCTGTGGAGGACTAATCATCATCTGGCTGGGAATAGAAGGTTAAGGGTTGTGATTGTGTAATCTTTTGAGGACCATCAGGTTCCTGTGCTGGTCCACTGGCCATGTCCAGAAATGCTCAACGACTTCATGGGGGGAGAGTCTTCATTCTCCTCTCCCCCTCCAAACTTTCACTGATCACCTGGAAGGTTGATATCAGAGTTGTGTTTTAGAGCAGTTGGCTTAGTTGTGAAGTAAAAGTAGTGATGGCTATTTCATGTCCTTTTTTTTTTACAGCTGAGGTGATCTGAACAGCCCATGTCAGAACCATTAAGTAACCAAACAGTCTTCACGTCATGGGAGTGGAACTCTTGGATTTTAGTTGTCTTCTCTACTTGTATAAACCACAAAGACAGAAGCTAATCCTATTGCACAGCCATGGTGCAGCTCTTCCATGACAGGCCCCGAAAAGTTCGCCTTGTTTTCAGATATGTCTAACTAAGCCATGGTGATTTGGAGTGGGGAGAATCAGAGGCGGATGATGGCATTTACAGCGGCTCCGTTGAGTAAGCAGTAGACTCATGTTTCCAAGGTGCACTCGGTTACTTCAGGTCAGAGATTTGCATGACAAATTTTTGCACCTGGAAATATAAATTGCATGCTTAATAATTACATGTGCGGTAAAGGAATTTTATTAAGGCCTCGGGGAAGATTGGACTTACAGGCCATGCCTCCTAACACCCGTGAGGAGCAAGCACAGGAGCTAGTTAAACGGGACCCCTGTCTGAGCTCAGAGCAGGTGGGCACTCAGAGTCCAGGCCGTACTCTTTATCTTTTTATGGCGGCAGCAGGAGCTAGAGGTGGGAAGCGCCTCTGAGCTACAGCAGCGGCAGCAGCAGAGATGCAGGCCTTTCCTCCTTTACGTGAAATACTCGGGCTTTGTGGGGACGATTAAGCCCGAGAATCTAAGGACAGTTTGAATAGTTACACTCTGAAAATCTGGCAAGATGAAAGGTGAGTGATTAAGGTGGTTTCGGTCTAAACCAGAGTGAGTGCTCAGCACTCTTCTTGGCACAGTTCGTTTGGCAGAATCGCTGCACCCTTCCCAGGAGAAGCTTCAGGCTGAAAGATTAAGGGCATTACAGGTCAAAGGTTAACTCCATTAATGTATTTATTTGGGAAAGTGTACAAAGGCCCTTATTAACCTTGCTTTTGAAGATTGAGCTGTCAGTCTCTCACTTTCATGATCACATTTTCATCTAAAAATGTTTCTTTAAGCAGCGCAGTATCAAAACAGAATCGATGTACCTCAGGTAGAAACATGTTGCGCCGCACGGTACCCGTGACACTGTGTACACGGGCAGACCCGTCGGTTAGATCCTATCGTGTGAGCTATTCCTTTGGTCCTATCAATTTCGTGACTATTTCAAGAGAGGAGGTAATTTATTGTCTTAGAAAATGAGGTGGAGGGAATGTTCTCTATTATTTTAAAAAAATCCTCTTTAGAAATTAAGCTTTCAGTTCCCTAATCTTTTAGGGGAATACTTACTACCTGAAAAAAAAAAAGAAATGCTAGGTGTCTTTTAGTCTTCGGGGGTTTTAGCAACAAACCATTATTGTTTGCAGACTTATTCTTTTGTGAGAAGGTGAGCTGCCTTAATGACAGCTTATGCAATAACAATCCATGATATAGTAGTTACCTGGATGTAGCAACAACTGTGCTCTAAGCCAAGAGAAAGAAGAAAAAAAAGTTAGTATCTTGTGCGTGAGAAGCTTGTAGATACCCTGAGGTGACTTCGTATAATTCTAAAATAGCAGGTAGCTTCTTGCATAGCTAATCAAGGCATCAGCGCCTGGAGCAAGTGGAGGTGGCTGACAGTGTACTTTGGTTTCAGATGCATTCAGCTCTTTTTGAGTGATAACTTAATTCATATTCTAGTTTTTGTACTAAAAGTGTATGCATTCTGATTTGGCAAATATCCTTCCCCATAATCTGACAGCTCTGTGCTTTGATAAAGCTGCTGATCTTAATGTCTCACTTGGATTTGTTCATTATATGCAGTGAGAAAGTTAGTACCACTGAAAAAAGGAATAGTTCTTTTTCTTGTGTTTTTAAGCATTTGAGTTCTACCCCCACCTTCCACATCCATTAATTGCCTAGCAAAGGCTGCAGGTGGCTGGCCTGAAAAACTTGAAATACACACTGGAGCTGAGTGTGTGTACAGAGCTTACAGAGAGAGGAGTCACCCTGACTTTGTAAAGCAGGTGGGTCGCTTCTGGAGATAGCAGTGAACGGCTCTGGTTCGTCCTCATATTTACCCAAGATCTGGGCTACCTTTTTGGTCCTGTGACTCCTTCTGGTTTAGTAAGCAGAAGAAACAGTTTCCTGAAGGAACCGCTGGCCACTTACTTGTCCCGAAGCACATGTGCCTTACAAAACAGAGGGCTATGGATCACATTTATGGCTTCGGTGCTCAGGAAGCTACAAGTGGAAACTGCACATACGAAGAGCCCATAATTTTACTCTAATAGATATTTAGAAGCTTACATGGAATAACAAGGAATACATTTAGGCAGGCGCCATGCAGGAGGATTTGGTGAGTATTTTACATTCCACTGTTTGAAGGGAGAAACATAATTTTTATACTTTCCCAAGATATATGAATATTTTGGTATGCAAAGTGATAATACATAGCATACTTGAAAGTCAAACCAAGCTCTGTTTGGCCAAAAGGATTTTACTGTTATCAGTATAATGCAGGCCAGTCAATCACGCTGAATTTTTCTTCCAAATCAGTTGAGTAGAACTTGCACAGGCAGCCACTTGCTGTTGTGCCTTGTTTGTTCATGCTTTATGATGTTCTTGTGCACAGGATCAACAGGAACGAATGCCAAGACTTGCCACTCTGTGTCTCTTTCCCCTTAATTTCCGGCCCCCAGCTCTCTCAGGGATAGTCTGTGGTCCCTGTAGCTTTCCTTCTGAGCCATTTGAAACTCCACAGGTCTAAGCAGACCTTTCTTTTTCCCCTATTTCCAGTCTTCAAGCCACAGTCCTGAGTCTCTTTTTGATCCCTCAATGCCAAGTCCATTCAGTGGCCTTCCTCCACACCATTTGCCCTCATGCAGCCCCTCCGTGTCTCCAGGCTGGACAACCCTCATGCCAACAGGATTATAGTGCAATGGTACCCTGTTAAAGCACCCTGTTAAGATTGGCATTTAGGACCTATCGGGTCCTATCCTACCTTTGCACTAAGTGTATGACTTCAGTCATTACCCATCTGTAATGTGGAAATCATCATGAGACTTTTCTTTTAAATAGGAGTATGTCAATAAAGTCTTTAGTACGGTGCTTGGGTAGTTAGTGCTCAGTAAAAGTTAGCATGAGTGTCCACGGGTCTTCCCGCGTCTCTGCCTCACAGTCCCACCATCAGCAGCGCTGTCTTCCTTCCACCTGGAGTAGATCAAGTTGCTGTGCTCCTCAGAAATCTCTGGTCATTGCTCTTCCTGACAGTTCAGGTTGGCATGTACTCAAAGCCATTTCTGCCATACCTACCTCATCCCCAAATCTCCTGCTCTGCACCCTTCTCCCCAGCCCTACTCATTTCCTTTTTGCATCTTTGTGCCTTCACTCGTGCTCCACCTGGAGTGTCACTTTCTGTCACTTATTAAAATTCTACTCATCCCTCAAGGCCTTATTCCAGTACCACCTCCTCCAGGAAGCTTTTTAAAACACATTCACCGGAAGATATATTTACTGATTTTAGAGACAGACAGAGAGGGGCAGAGCGAGAGAGAAACATTGATGTGAGAGAGGAACATTGATTGGCTGCCTCCCATATGTGTCCTGACTGGAAATGGAACCCACAGCCTTTGGTGTATGGGCTGACACTCCAACCAACTGAGTCACCCGGCCAGGGCCGCCAAGAAGGCTTTTTACCTAAACATGTGTTGACGCCTTCCCTAGCCATCTAGTTAGACTCGATTACTCTTTTGGCCACAGTCTCACAGCCCTTGTTTGTATCTCTGGTTAGAGTTGGCCAACGGAGTTTTGTAATAGAGTTATTTGCACATATCTGTCTCCCGTAGGTTCTAAACAACTTCAGGGCAGAAGTTGTGGCTTTTGAAAATCTCAGTATCTACAAAGTGCTTTGCTCATTATATGTGATCAATCACATATAATGTTGTGATAATCACATATAATATGTGATCAAACACATATAGTGTTTTCAAATTGAATTAAAATTATGTGTTTACAGAGAAAGCTTCAAGATGCCTGAAAGTGGGCAGGAACCCTTGCTCCGAGCACACTGGTTGCCAAGTGCACGATAGGCAACTGTGGCTCTGGGGACGGAACAGTGCAGTAAAGTGAAAGGCACGCAGTTTTCAATTTCTTTGACAGTCAGCAGCAAGGGGAGTCCTCATTTGTCTGAGACCCTTGATGAGACAGCAGAAGGGAGCTGAGCTGCTGGGCAGGAGCCATTGTTACTTGGGTCATCATGGAGAGGTTCAGAACAGAAGTCTTCTTCTCTGCTAAGCAAGTGGGGAGAGAGAGAGCTCCTTCTCCTTGATGTATAGTCCCAGCATGTGGTTCTTGGTCACTCCATGGTGAGATCTGGGCAGGGAGAGCTGAGATTCATCCTTGGATTATGAGAGATTGACATTTCATAGAAAGCCTGATTCCAGCATAGAGGACACTCTTTGTCATTAGTTTAAATAAAGTTCACTAGCTGTGCATATGGGAAAGGTGCCCAGAGTGTCTGTGTCTAGGAGACTACTCATCCACAGAAACCTCTTCCCTCCTTCCCTGGTAACAGAGTTGCTTCTGGGATGAGGCAGCCTAGTTCAGGGCGGCTGTTCTCAGCTTCCTCTGCTGCTAGACTTTAGGCAAAGAAATGGGCTCAAACTTTCTGTGTGAAACTTCTTACTCATTTCCTGAGGCAATGTCTCTAGCACTGGATCTCCACTTTTTTCCTCTGCTCCTACTGGCTGGGACGGATGCCATAAACTAGCCTTGAAATCCATCTGTTGCCAAGATGACAGAGATTTATTAGACCAGCCCACTGAATGTCTGTGTGAAGGACCACTTTCTGCTGAAACTGAGACAGTTTCAGCCATTGCAATGCATTATATCTGCCCCTACACAGGGTCTTGTTTTTTTCATTCTGCATGAAACCCAACACTCATTAAACACTGACTAAGTCTTGGGCCCTCTCTATGTAGAGGGTGTAAAAACATGAATGAATGAGTTTCAGTTCCTGTCTTTAGGGAGTTTGTAGTCAGGTTGGATAGATGAAATACCAGCAATACAGGTATGCCATGCCTTTTAGACCACAGATGGTATCCACTAAAGGTAATGGGAAGAAAGAGATTCCTGTAGGGCACAGGTGTCAAACACAAGGCCCTCAGGCCAAATCTGGCCCTCCACCTTGTTTTATCCAGCCCATCACCTTGTTTCTACCTGGCGGCAATGCTGAGCTCTTGCTTAACTGTTAAGGACTAGTTACACTTATACAGTCCTAAAGTTACATTTGGCCATTCAAAGACAACCTTGAGACTGATGTGGCCCCCGGTGAAAATGAGTTCGACACCTGTGCTCTAGGCTATAGTGAGCTAGAAATTCTCATGAAGGAGTTAGGACTTGAGAAATTTTTTGAGGATAGATTAGATTTGGAAGGATGAAGAGGCTCAAGGCAGATATACTGGATGAGCTAATGTCTTCAAATTGGGGCAGGTGATAGTGAACCCACTAGTCAGGACAGATGGAACAACTTGTCTGCCACAGGGAGTAGTAGAGGTTACCTTTGAGAAAGTTGCTGGGTGTGTGTGATTGGGGAACATTTGAATACCAGACTACCTTGCAAATTGGTTTCTCCATGCAGCCAATGGGGAGCTGTATAAGGCAACATCATTACACATTGTTGTGAGTCTTCTAGTTTGCATGGAGTAACCCAAACAACCTGTTGTTCTAAAAGCTGTTGTCCTGGTACCTGGTAGGAAGCTGTGAGAAATCTGGGTCTATCTCCAAAGTACAGTTTTTCTACAAAGAGCTGGTTTGTGTACCAGTGGCTTGAGGCCACCCCACAGCACAAACTGGAGAGGAA